GGCAGGCGGGGCAGGGCGGCGGGGTGAAAGCGCCCCCCGCTTCTCCCCTCCTCTGGAGTGATGCGTCGGCCGTGGGAAGGCTGTCGGCCCCACCCAGTCAGGTGACGCGCGGGACGCAAAGGGGTGTTTGGGGCCGGTAACCTCCCTCCAGAGGAGCAGGTCCAGCAGGCTCAAAGCGCAGGAAGGATTGTGCCCTTTCTCCTTCAAGCACCAAATTGCAGGCTACTCTCCGTACAGAGGCGCTGCCCAGGCAAGGGCCGACAGGCCTGCTGAGGGCCGCTTGAGGCGAACGGGTCAAGCATGAGGCACGGTGGCATCCGAGAGGACGACCGAGGGCATCCTGTGGATGCCGTGCGCAGCTGCAGGGCTGCACGAATCCAGCACAGCCGCAGACGGACTCCGACGGGAATGAGGTGACAAGGACTTTTCCTTGTCGGAGCATGGCCTGGTTCAGGTGCGATTCTGGCTCACTGGGTGGATTCCTCCCACTTCTCCTTCCCCTCGAAGGGTGAGGCCTTCTCCGCGCCCTGGCCTGGAGGCAGATCCAGCAGCGTTGGCCACGCCAGGCTGTTCTCCCCAGAAGGCCTCTTGCTGCAGGAGCAACCGCGAGCGCGAGGCAGGGCGAAGGGGGCCTCCCTCTGGGCTGCTGCGGACCTGCTCCCTCCCTCCCTTCCGGCCGCCCGGCCTTGCCCTCCATGGCCACCTGGGCTGCAGGAGAGGCTGGGCGCCTGGCTTCCAAGTTAGCCCCCTTTCCCCCACCTGTCACCTCTTTTTCAAGCTGGCAGGAGAAGCGTTCGAGTGGACCTTAAGGACAGGGACGGTGGTTTGTGTCCCGCTGGCAGGTGACACCCAGAGAACCTGCCAGTGACTCTCCTGATGCAGCCCCACATTCAGGATGTGCCAATGCAAACAGCACCAGGTCTGGCCCGGTTGCCGCGGCAGAAGAGGGAGGGCTGGCAATGAAGCCCACCGGCATCCTTTACTGCTGCCTCCCCGAGTGGAGGGAAGTGCCCTACGAAGCCAGAATCAAAAAGGAAGGACAAGGGACTCCTGGCTTGAGTCATAAAACATTCAGATGGAGCTTTGCTGGTTTGTGAGGCAGCTGTGCAGTTTGCCTGCTTGCTTGTTCACAATCAGACCAGCCCCTCGGTCGCTTGGGTCGCGTGTTGCTCCCTCGGCCCCTCACCCGGGGCAGAGAAGGCAGCCTGCTTCAGCAGGAGCTGGAAGTGACTACTGGCATTTGTTGCTGGTTGGGGACCCTGCACAGATTTGGTGCTTTCGTGAAAAAGGGCGCAATGGTGGACAGGTCATTCCAGCTTTCGCCTGGGGAGGCTGGTTTGCCTTTCTCCCCATTAACGCTGAGATATCTGGCAAAGACAGACCTGTTCCAATGTGACTCCAGCATGCTTTTTGTGAACTAGTACTCAGGGGTTATATTGTTCTGTTTCAGCCTCAGGACAGCATTTTAGAATTTTTTGGCATTTCCGTGTTTATAAAGAGCTCGAGACACTGCCTTGAGCTTCTGGAGGAACGGCAGAATGGAAACAAGCAAATGAGCTCTGAAATAGGACCAGGGGGATGAAAGGGCTGGTCACAGTCACCCGTCTCCTTGCCAGCCCCTCCTTGCTGCAGGGAGTGGGCGTTGGGCTGCTGGGAGACGGGGAGAAGGACGTTTGCAGAAACACCTCCCCCCACCCCACAGGTCAGACCTCCTTCCCCCCGTCTCCTCAGAACGGCACTTGGGTAAAGACAAAGAGCCCCCAGGGTCAGCCACTGCCTCGCTTGGTCGAAAAGCAACCACTGACTGCGGGCTCCTTCTGGACAGAGAGGGGTCTAAAGCCCTGCTGAGGCTGAGCCAAAATGCGGGGGGGATGCTCCAGTTGGAAGCCATGTGGCACTGGGAGAGGTCTTGAAAGGCTGGGCTGGGTGGGGCCCGGGGAGCCCTCCCCCCATAGCACAAGCCTTTCCACTGCTGGGGAATCTGGTTCTCCCCTGACCAGCCAGGCCTTCAGGCCAACTGGAAAGCTACTGGCTAGCCAGAATCCAGCCTTCAAGGGGGTGCTGGCCATGCAGCCGCAGGGCTTTGGTTGGTGGGAATGAAGTGGGGCTCCTTTTGCAGCCTCTCCATCTGCTCTTCAAGACAAGAGGCTCCATGACCCCCTAGCTGGAAGGACCTGGTTCTTACCTGGCGATCGAGCTAAGGTTCTTGAGACCGAGCGTTCCCGAGACTTGTATGGATACTTTAACGTCGTGTCCAACTGCTTGAAGCTCTCTTTCAGTGAATGGGCTTGGTAGTACTCGACCAATTCCTGCAGAAGACAGACCGACACCAATGACCCCCTTCAAGCCCTCGGGAAGACCAATTCCAAGGCAAGGGTTGTTTCTTCTAGAATACCATACCAAGAGGCTTTCAAATTTTTTGGCTTCTGTGATGTGGATCCAGTTATCTTTTTCAACAACTTTAATGTGCTTGACTTCATCATTAAACCTGCAGGGGAAATGCAGAGGCAGTGGTTTCAGAAGATCATACCAGGGATCAACTTTTTCCCTTGGCTTTCGAGGGATGTTTCCAACCCAAAAGCCCAGCTCACAGGGCAGATCTACCAACATGGAAATGGCTGGCAAATAGCTGGACTCAAACTGGTCAGACTTTAATAGCCAAAAGCCACATCTGGTTTGTGTGCCCCTAGGTGTTGAAATGCTGGAGGGCCCAGCTGGAGGCTTGCTCTGCCTGGCAGCCTAGCAGAAGTACCTCCCTTGGGCCTTGAGATGTGACCGCAGCCTGCCCGGGAGGACCATATTAGTTGCGGAATTATTGGAGCAGAAAACTATGAAATGCCAAAGCATGCCAGGCCAGTTTAAAATGGGGTTCAGCATGGTGCGGGAATCCAGAGCTTGTACCAGTGCCAACATGAGTCTCCCATCAGGGGGAGATGGGCAGAGAAAAATTTAATAAATAAATAAAAATAAATGCATATTAAGCCATCACCCTGGTGTAATTCTTTGGTGTGTGAAGACAGGAATTGTAAACTAGGCTGGGGTTCAGCGTGTTGTGTGAGCCCAGCTGGACTGTGTGAACTCATCCCCTGTTCTTTGGAAGAGACCCAGCGTGTCCCCCCAGGGGAGACAGAGAAACTGCCCTTAGCAAGGCACTGACTTGATGCTGATGGCAAAGCGCTCGGCTTCTGCTGGCCTCTCCCGGATCAGGTAGGTCCCGCTGGCATGCTGCTTCAGGAGGTTGTCTGTCTGCTGCCTCTCCATATTGCCTGCAAACCTAAGATCAACACTGTGGGTTAGGAGTCATTCCCCCTTAGATGTCCCTTTAGTGTTTTAAAGTTGCCATAACCTGCAGGGTAGGCCCTTGGTGCAGAGGAGATGAGGTTGAGAGGCTGGGACCTGCACTCTGAGGCTCAGCCTCCCCTCTCCATCACTAACTTGCATCGGCAGTTGGGGTGTCCATGGCCCTAGCAGGGCTTTTGGAATGGGTCCAAAACAAGGCTTTCCACTGTGGAATCCTTGGTCACACTGATGATGTTACCTAGTTGGGTAATGAAATGTCTGCAAGCAACAGCCAAACAGCCAAGCTCAGAGAGCACCAAGGACTCCACAGTTCAGCCCTGAGCTACAGAGATTCTCTTCTATTGAAGGCCTTCCATTTTAGGGCCCTTATTTGAGCCTTGCTCACAAAATCCCAGAGTTGGAATGGAGGGCCCTGAGTCCAACCCATAATTCATGCAGAAATCCAGCCCTCCTAGAGCGCTTCCACTGAAGGGGAGCCCCCCCACCCAATCTCTCTGGACCATTGACTCTACTGTCCAGCTGCTCTTAGGAAGTTTCTTCTAACCTTCAACCAGAATCTGCTTTCCTATCACTGAAATCCACACTTCCATGTCCTGCACTCTGTGACAAGAGAGAACTGGTCTTTACCTTCACTGTGACATATTTCAGGAATCTGAAGGGGACTATCTGATCCCCCTTTGATTTTTCTCTTCAACACACCCAGCTCCTTCAGTCTCCCTGCACAGTGCTCTAATTGTCTTACTGCCTTTCTTTTAATCTATTCTAAGTTCTCTGAATAGTTCCAAATGTTCAGCACCCAGAACTGGGCACTGCCTATGAAGGGAGATCTGACCAAGAAGGAATAGAGTGGAATTATTCCTTCATGGGATTTGTAGTTCGATTGATGGAGTCTAACATTGCATTTGCCTTTTTATAGCCATGTCACACGGTTGGCTTGTATTTAATTTTCAATAAACTATTATTCCAGAATTTGTTTCATCAATAATGTATCAAGCCAGCTGTGCCCATCCTTATATTTGTCCATTTGATTTCTGTTTCCTAGATACTAATTGGATATTTGTCTCTGTTAAATTATATCCTGTTAATTTCAGCCCAGTTCTTTAACCTAGCAAAATTTATTTGAATTTTATTTCAGTCCAGTTCTGAATCAGCTGCAAACGTGACTGTCTGAATCATGAATCAAATATTGAAGAGGAGAAGGCCCTGGACTGAACCTCATGGCCTCCCCTTGATACCTCCCTGCATTTTGGTGAGGAACCATCGAGGTACATCTCTAAATATGGTTTGCAAGCCAGCTGGGTCTCCACTGACTTGTCATGCCAGATTCCTACTGGAATCCTTGATCTTCACCTTTCCTTCTCACCTTCTGCTACTCCAATCCCAAGTCTCTTCCTCCACCCAATTCTTCTCTGGCTGCCCTAAATCTTCAACTCCAAAGGAAGAGGAGGCCACTTAACTTCAAGGATTAGGGTTTTTCACTTATTTCTGTCCCCTGCCTTCATCTACCCCCACTACAGTAATCCTTTTTGCTTTCGGCTGAAGAGGAAAGAGCACATTGAAACCTACAAGAAGAGACTCTGCAATGAAGTGTGCCTTTCTAAGCATTCTCTCTGAAAGATCAAACTCTTTATTCTTTTTGAACAAGAGAAATAGTAACTTTAAAAAAAAGTCCTACAGGACTTGGAGAGGTTTTTTGTTTTTTGTTTTTCCCAGATCCCTTTTCTTTCTTTTCACAGCTGCAACTGGGAAAGTTTAGAAAACCAAGAAAGGATTCCACAAATACAGCTTTCCAAATTTTGGGAAACTCCTTCCACATTTTGGGAGCTCTTCATTCTGAGGCTCTCCCTATTCTTCCCCATTTTATTCCTCATAGCTGGAGTGCTAGTTGCTTTCAAAGAACAATGATCTTGACTATTGAACGGAGAGGTGATTGCACCAAAAAGGTGAGAAACTGCCCCCACCTCCCGCTCACCCCCAACCTTCACCAATGGGAAAGGTTAAAGAGGAGGAAGCGGTCTGGCATAGCAGGAGCCCCAGCCAATCCCGCCCGTCCAACTCACCAAGGGTACGCGGAGTAGTCCATCTCTCGTGAGGCCGGGCGGCTATTGGGAGGCTGCAGCAGAGAAGAAAGGCCGTGATTTGGGGTGGGGGACCCTAAACGGGAGGCAGATCTTTCCCAAGAGTGTCCCATGCTGGGCTGGTCTGAGCTGTGAACAGTGGGATGGAAGACCCCCAGCATGAGGAGGAGGTCGCCTTGTCTGAGGAATTGATTCTCCAAGTAAAAAGAAAGGGGCCGTCTACTGAACCCAGCAGTCCGGCTGCCCACATGCAGGGGCCAACCATGGGGAGCCAGGGGCATAGTCTTGAATGTTGCTCCTGTAGCTCCCTGGATCGAGCTGGCACCACTCGGGGCTCTTACCCGAGCATCCACTGGGCAGGGCTTGACCAACGAGCTGGGGAAATAGCCAGATTTCTTGGACATGATGAGCCTGCCCTGGAAAAAAGAGAAGAGTCCCTTGCAAGGGGTCTGTCCTGCAGCAAGGACCAGTCTCTGGCGCAGAAACCCAGGCAGGGGCATATAGAAGAGGCTGATGGGACTCCCTTTGCCCATCTTGAGTTTAGGTCTCTTTGTTCTGTCACAAGGGGGGATATTTTCGCTCTCTCTCAAAGATTCACACAACACCCTGAAGACAAGTCAATGAGACACAACAACGGTGTCTCTAACACATCCATGTTATACTTAATGCGATGGGCTGGCGCAGCAAGTGTGCTAGGAGCAGGCTAAGGAAGGGCTGAGTTCCCACAACCTGGTGAGTCACAGTCTAGGAGTGTGGCACGTGTCTTGCTGGCCACCCAAAGGTGACCTGGTCCTGTGGGAAAGCGGCGGAGCTCAAGCCGCCTCCGTGATGCTGGGCTCTGTTTGGTGCACTGGCACCCCAGTGGGGGAGCAGGGAGGTCCGAGGCTCGGCCAGGGCCAGGACGCCCAAAGGCCAGGTTCCCTGAATTGCCCCCCGGGAGGACCCAGATGGCCAAAGGATGCTGGACTCCCAAGGGACAGAAGGACTCCCTGCCCCCAGTGCTACTCTTGAGTAAACCCGGGCAGGAGGGGCGGGGGAGCCTGGTCTGGCCCCAGCGTGGTTTCCTCCCGTGGGTGCACCTTCCGTGCACTTGAAGGGCTTGAGGCTCCGAACAGAACGTGCGGCAGGCCCGGATCCGGATCCCATGGATAACTGGTCGAGGGAGCCTTTTCCTTCCGCAGCCTCCTGGAAGATCTCTACTCACCTCCCACCACTGGGAGTCTGGTTCCCCTCGGAGCAGCTCAATCACTTCGCCCATTTGAAAGGTCAACACGGGTTTCCCTGGGGGAGCCGGGTTGCCGTGATAACTCTGGAGGGCCACCATTTTAGGACCTAGGAGGAAGCCAGAAACAGCCAGGTCCCCGATCAGCCTCTCCACACGAGCCAGCAGCGGAAGGCAGCCGCCTGGAGGCAAACGCTGCCCGGGGAGGCCTCAACCGGCCCATCCAGCCAGAGGATGGGAAGCCGCGCCTCTGCCCTGGCCAGACCCCGCTGGAGCCCTTGTCCCGGGCAGGAGGGGGCCGCTCTCTCCCTAAGCCGCTATTTTTCTGGGCGGGGGCCATGGGGAAGGGGCAGAGCGCCCTCCCCAGATCCCTCCAACTCTGCAGGAATGTGCCTGAGGGCGCAGCTCTTTTTTAGCAAATGCTCAACAGCGCACATTATTGCTTTGTGACTCCTTGGACAAAAAGCCATTTAAAGGAACGGGGGACCACCCAGTGCAGTTGAACAGAATTAACTGAAGCCTTCAGCGGGGCTCAGATCGGCTCACTGACAAGTTGCTGGCTACAGAAGATACAAAATGAACGTACGAATTTATTTTTTAATTTAGAAACACGTCTGCTCTCCCTATCCATTTTTTTCTATTCAGCTTATTAAAATAATAAAATAAAATATAAAACGCCAAAGATGCCAGCAAATTATATCACAGCATATTGGAAAGGGGGTCATCTGGCTTCGTCTGCTCACCACTGATTGCCTTCCCTTGCAGGGAACTTTCTCACATCTTTTGTGCTGAACGAAGCAACCACACACCCAACCGGTCCCTTCCACGCAGGTCTCCAAAGGGACAAATTACATGAGGGATTAACTCTGCTTTTTGATTTAAGGGGCACTTTTTCTAAAAATGCAAGTAAAAGCTACTGTCCTACGGAATCAATTACCTGGGGCATGTCCTTCTGGGCAGAAATGCCAGCAAGCCAATGGAAAGGCCAGCAGCTTTATCTCGCCCTTCCCAAGCGTGCTGCCTCTTGCAACGTGATGCACGAGCACCCGCTGCACGTCTCCCTCCCTCTGCAACCTTTGGTTGCTTGGAAGGGAACAGCCTGGGGGACGTCCCTGCGAAAGGAGTCCTTAAGGCCGGTCTGGTCCTGCTGCTGCTGCTGCTGCTGCTGCTGCTGCTGCTGCAACCGGGCAGACACCTCTGCAAACAGTATTTCGCAGCCACCCTGGTTCCATCTGAAACTTTTCTGCAATTGTTCTGAAACCTCTGCTTTGCTTTTAAGCAAGGACCCGTTGGGAAGTTGCCAGGACTGTGTTCTCCGAGCCTCCCCGGGAGTTTTTGTTTTGAAATGAAACAGCAGCAACAGGAAGGAGGAGGGGGAGAAAGCAATCTTACCTAGATTCAGTAATTCCTGTCCAGAAATAAAGAGAAAGCACATTTCAGATTTCCAGGAGCCTTTTTGTACTGCAAGGCATTCTTGCTCTGAGAACCGACACCCCCACACACTGCTGACAGCAAAGCCTTACAAGGAGGCTACAAACCTTGTTTGGATTCTGAGCTGTAACCCTTCAAACTGGGAGTGGGGTGGGGTGGGGTGGGCAGCAAAAGGAGCAGAGAAAAAGGTGCCACCATCTTAGGACCAGCCAAGGACTCCACCCCACACCTAAAAGAAGGGGTGGGGAGTGAAATGTTTGGGGGTGGGGGAACAGGGCCTGGGGGGAAAGGGTGACCCCCATGTCTTCCTCCAGCAGCTTGCTCCTCTCCCAGCCCCCACCCCTTTCCCAGAGAGAAGGGAGGAAAACTGTACCACTTACCTGCTCTGCAGGAGAACCTAGAAGGTAACGTTAAAAAGTGGCCAATTAATTTGGACAGCACATAAGAGAAGCATCTCAATTTTAGTTTGCTCAACAAGCTGGTGTGCAGATCTCATGATCTGGATTCCCCTCTTCCTATTTCTTGCTGTTGTTGATTTTTCCTTCTCTCCCCTCCTTTGCCTTTGACCCACCTTCAAAAGTTAGACTGTCCTTTTACAATTACAAAAGTGTTTGTTAAATGATGGTGATGATGATGTTACGGGGGGCAAATGTATATTTTTTTCAACACTTATGGCACGCTTTTTAGTGCAAAAGCTTCCAAACGTCCATGGATCTGTGTCTGCAACTGCCCTGCTCTTCTGGGACGTGTGGGAGGCTGGCCGGGGACTTCCAACCAGGAAGCTGCCCGGTGGGAGCCTCACCGCTCCGCCTGCCCCCGTGAACAAGGCCCACTGGAGAAGGGCTCTCTGGTCCCCTCTGCAAGCCAGCGGAAGCCTCAGCCCGACCGACAGGCAGCTTTTGGATTGGGAGGACCAATCAAATCTTCCATTTTATGCCAGGAAAAGCTCACACTGATTTGGAGAGCACCACCTTGAACCTGTGCCCACGGGGGCTGTGGAGCTGAGAGTCCAGGCAGAAACTCTCCGCTCTGCAAGGAGCGACCAGGTTGGGGGCACCGAAAGAACTGATTCCCTGGCAGCAGGCACAGGCCTGCTCCATTTCCTCGGCTGGCTGGCAGCTCCTGGGGTGGGGGTTGTTGCAAGGGGCTATTTCAGCCATCCCACTGCCACAGGTAGGTTACAACCCAAAGCTAGAGCACTGTAAACTTGGCCTGGCACCACCTAGACCCGATCCGGGCATGGGGCAGGAAATCAAGAGGTGGCAATAAAGGGCTGCTTCCGACCAGGGTCACTTACTGATTTTGCAGGGTGGGATGACCTCCAAGCATTCCTTGTGGGCGCCCACCTTGCATTTCAAGCACTGGTAGCCTTGATAGAAGGTCCCCCTGTGAAAGGAGACACCGCTAGACCAGCCTATCTGCCGAGACCCTCGAATCCAGCAGGCAGCTAATGCCTCAGCCAGGGAGCCCTCTTGGGCTGAAGAGTGGGGAGGCATTTGCTCCCCAATACCCTGAGGCCTGCCGTGGGCTCCTGATCATCAGGCCCCTCCTCAGGTGCAGGGAATCCCTTCTGTTCAGAGTCTGAGGTGGAGCTGAGCCCCTTCCCCATCAAAGGAAGCGATGGTGCTGGGAGCCAAAAGCAGCGCTCCCCAGGAAGGAGGCCCTGCGTGTGAAGAGGAGGCTCAGGCCAGCCTGGGAACCAGGCGCTGAGGGATCTGGCAGCTGCGGCTGCTGCTCCTTCTCCTCCTCCCTCTTGTAACCGTCCTGCTGGATCATTGCTGAGTTTGCCGAAAGCTGAACTTGGTTACCAAACTAACCCATTTTCTGGGTTGCTCAACTCCCCCGGCCACACAAATACACAGCTGAGTTAAAATGAAACAAACGTGGCCTTCAACCCAAGTGGGTGTGAGCTGAGAAGGCATCTTGGGGGTCCTGATCCTTGGACTTTGCCCTGGAGCAATTTGCGCTCTGCGGGAGGGGGCCTTGGCCAGTCTTCCGCATTGTGCTCGGCTATTGTGCTCAGGCTCCCACCCAGCTCAAGCCCAATGGCCTGAGGGTCCATGAAGTATCCCTGGCAGAAACACCCTCGCTGGGCACTTAAAGAGAGGGTGGACAGGGGGAATGCACTGGGCTGGAGGTTGGACTAGATGATCTCCAAAATCCCTTCCAACTCTTACATTCTATACTTTTGTGACATCACTAGATTAATTATATACAAGGTAGTCCTCGTTTAATGTCCATTTGTTCAGTGACCATTCAAAGTTACGATGGTGCTGAAAAAATGGACTTGCGACTGGTCCTCAAACTTATGACCTTCATAGCACCCCCACAGTCACATGATAAAAATTCAAGCCTGCCTGCATTTACAACCGCCCCCCACCCTTCGTCGTCGTGTTCGCCTTCCTCCCCTCTACTGGGCTCACCATCCTGGCTACACATGGGGACGCACCGTGGAAACCTTCTGCAGGCCAATGACATCAGGCCGGGGTGCAAGGGCCACTCTGGGAGGCATGGCTCTTGAAAGGCTGCTCCTGCAGTGGCGGAGTCATGGGTGAGATGGACCCGGGTGAGATGGACCCAGGTGAGCGATGCGGGTGCTTTTCATTTGGTAAGCCACCAATGGGGAACACGAGGAGGTGGGCTCCTAAGCAGGCACTTCTTGTTGTGCCGCAGCTCGGGGGCTGCTAGCTGCAATGTGGCTCGGGGGCTGTTTGGGGCAAGAAGCCCCAAGCCATGGTGCAACAAGCAGCCCCTAAGTGCAGCATACCAAGCAGCCCCTCAGTTGCAATGTGACAAGCAGCCCCAGTGCTGCCTGGCTGTGGGGCTGCTTGCTGCGCAGTGACAACGGGGCTGCTTGGCAGGCCATGGCCACGGGCTCCTTGCCGCACCACAGGGCTTGAAGTAGCACTCCTCAGTGGCGATGGCGAGCCCAGCAGAGGGGAGGAAGAACACGACGATTGCGCCAAGGAAGACAGGGAGGAAGGTCCGTTGGAGCGGTGGCAGGGGAACATAGAGGCCTCTTCGTGCTGTGCAGGGTGGCCCAAAGGGCAGAGATGGGGGGAGATAGGCAGGTGGGGGGAGTTGAAGGGGAGGCAGTCCCTTGCTTTGGAAGAACCAAGGCTGAAGGCTGGGAAGGACCAAGCCGGGAGTGGCTTGGATCGGGGTAAGTCCTCACTGAATGACCCGCGGGATTCATTTAATGACAGCAACAGGGACTGCCGGAACTGCCTTCACTAAGCAGTGTGTGTGTGTGTGTGTGTGTGAGAGAGAGAGAGAGAGAGAGAGAGAGAGTGAGAGATGTTTCTGTTAATGACCGCTTCATTTAGCAACAGAGTTGCCAATCCCAATTAGGGTTGTTAAGTGAGGACTACCTGTAGTTAAAAAGAACTCTCCCCATTATTGTAATAATGTAACCTTACAAAAACGAGCGCCCTTTGAGGGGCCTGCATACACCTGAATTTGGTAGAACAGAAGCAGGGGGAAAAGATTCACCTTAAAAACATCTTGCAGGCTTTGCAGTTGGTGGTCTTGTCAAAGGTGTACATCTGGAACTGGTGGTTGTTTGCTGTGGCTTTCTCTGGCTTAATGTTGGATCTGAGCAAAGGAGAGAGGCGGGAGACACGCAGCCCCTCAGTTCTGGGCAGGAAAGCCACCCTTCTGCCCAGTTGCGGCTTGGCTCTAGGGGCACCTGCGAAGAGTGCCCAGGGGCGGTCCTCAGACCGCTTGCACAGAGTGTGTTCGGTGTGCGGTCCTGGCCTCGGGGATCCGCCCCCTTTCAGGTCGGGGCCAGGCCACGATCCCCCACCTAGTCATGCCTGGGCATCGGCTGGGTGGCCCTGGCAGGGCTGGGACCCTGCTTTGGAGAGAGGGGCAGGAAGAGAACGAGAGGTGTGAGGCACGGGTGCCAAGCGCTCACCCTGCAGGAAGATGGCCGGCAGGCATCCTGGGGGCCCTGGCCCGACTGGCGGCTTTCTCTTTCCCAAAGCCGTGGCCAAGGCCACCAGCAGGAGCGGCCAAGCCCAGCTTCCTTGGCAGCCCGGCCCCTGGGGCCACCCCAGCCCGCGTGCAGGCCCCAGGCACTCACATGGCCATTTCAAACTGCTCCATCCACTTCCGTTTCATCTCTTCTGTCTTGCAGAAAAACTGGAAGCCCTGTTTGCCTTGAAGGTGCGTGAGGTAGAAGCCGTAAGACCACTGTGGGGAGAGAGCGCCGGTGACGGGGGCCGAGGGGCCGCCTGGCCAGGAGAAAGCCCAAGGCCAGCGCAGGCCAGGGAGGGCTGGAGGAGCCACGGCTGACCCCAGCCATCCCCCTACCCCAAAAGCCTGCCCTCACAGGGCACCCTCAGGCAGCCGTGTCACAGGGCCAGAGGGAGCAAGCTTGGGCCAACCGCCCCAGGGGAGCCCTTTGGACCTGGCCATGATGACTGGGAACTCAATGCCCGCTCTGGTGGGGCAGAAGCGGGGGGAGGGGCTCAAAACTCAACGGGCTGGTAGGCACTGGCCCTCCCTTGGCTGCCATGCCTCATCTCGCCAGCAGCACCAACAGAGGCTGCCCCAGAGAACCGGGAAAGGGGCTGCTTCTCTTTCACAAGATGGCTTTTGATCCATCTCATCCTCTCGCCGTCCACCTTACGGGGAGGAGAGGGCAAGCCTTCCTCCCAGGGCTGTGTGTAAGGACTCCTGCAGTAACGCAGGCCCCCATGCAGCCCCCTTGGCGGTGCCCGGTTAATCCTGTTTGGGATTATTAAAGGATTGCAGCAGCAAAAGAAAAGAAAGTCGGAACTGGTAGACTTTGCTTACCATTTTTCCGTGTGACTGAGAAGCAAAAGGAAGCGAAGGGGAGACACAGTTGGTTAAAACAGAGCTCCAAATGCCACCTGGTCAGACTCTAAAATGAGGACCAGAGGGCCCAAATTTCCCTCCCCCCCACAGCCCCCAGCCCCAGGTGGCTTAACACTTCAGGGAATCAGTGGGGATGCCCCTTTCTGGATCTACGTGCTCCAGGTTACAAGGGAGGGATTCCGCCTGCTGAGGCCTCCCTCCGAAAGAACAGAGGCTCCTGCAGGGGAAGGGGGCTGGTTTTCCTGACCTGCCCTTTTTCTATACCCAGGTACTTCCATACGCCCGTTTCTTCCATCAGGAACTCTCCAGGTGGGAACCCCTGGTGGCAGCCACCAGAAAGAGGCTCTTCCCGCGCCGAATTCGGCGTGAGATGGCTGTAGCCAGGCCAGCTGGGCAAGGGGCACAAGTCTCAGTAAGTGCCCCAGTGATGGAATTGCGATTTCTCCGGAGGGCAGTGGTGCTGCTACAAGCTGGTGGGGCCCACATCTCACCCAGCAGTATGGGCCAGGACCGTGCAGGGGGCCAAGCTGTGCTCCCTCCAGGAGCTGCACGTGGTTGCAGCACAAGGACCCCCCTCCCACCCCCCCCGGCCACGGGTGGAGAACAGCAGTCAGTGACTTCCAGCCTCCGGACCGCCTGAGCCGCCACTCCTTTGGGGCTGGTCCTTGGCAAGAGCAGCTCCTTGGAGTGCAGATGCACAACCTGGCCAGCTATCCAAGGTTAGCTTGCCCCTTGCCACCCAGGGAGATGCCAGGAAGAGCCAGATCTGCTTCCAGCAGCTACAGCTCTCCCCACTTGCAGCGCAGATCACTGGCTGTGGCTTGTCTCCTCTTTGTCCAGGGAGCACCCCTGGAACATTCCTCCCAGGGAGGGGAGGGGAGGCCCCACCCACCTTCTTGATGTCCTTATTGTTGGTGGGGTCATCGGTCATCTTGTAGCAAAGCAGTTCAATGATGTCTTTTTGCTCGTAGCTGTAGCCTTTCCTCTTGCAGACAATCACCACTTTATCAAACAAAAACAAATACCTGTCCCAGAATCAGAAGAGGAAACCTGGGCTCAACAATCACGTCTGCACAGACTTCAGAGAGCCATCCTCTCTCCCCCAGAAAGCTTGGAAGGATGGCAGGCCTTGGGGGGGCTCCCTGGGCAGGGGCTCTCAGCCTCCTCCTCCTGTGCCCAGGAGAGAAGGATAGCATGTGCCTAGATGCCCCTTGGTCAAGTAAGGCTTTATCGTCCCAGGGACCGTTGGCAAGAGGGACTTCTGGCCCCAGGAAAATGACAAGGGCTGGATGAGGATCTGAAGACAGGCCAAGTGAATTTCTTCCCTTTCAAAGGACCTGCGATTCTGCATTTCCAACAGACCCGGCCAAATGCTCAAAGAAAGCCCCCCTGCTTGGCTCCTCCTGGGCCCCTTTTAAAAGCCACCTCCTCCAGCCTGCCGTGATACTCAACTCAAGGGCCAGGAGCATGTGTGGGGCTCGGCCACAGGGCTGGTTGCCTAGGGCAAGCCACAGTCCTCTGAGTGGCCACCAAGAAGGACAGGGAGGCCAAGCAGCCCCGGCCCTTTTCCTTATTTCAGCTGGGGGGTGGGGGGTGG